GCCTGACCTGGAGCTTGGTATGTACACTTTGTGTGTGTTTACTGTTCACCACCCTGACAAGTTCCAAAGTGATGCACATTGGGTTTTTTAGTTGTTGACTTGTTTCCCAATGTGCATTGGGTTTTTTATTTGTTGACTTGTTTCCTGATGTGCATTGGGTTTTCTATTTGTTGACTTGTTTCCCAATGTGCATCAGGTTTTCTATTCAACCTGTGAAAATCACATTCTCTAACAGTTTGTGTTGCTGACCTTACTATGCAGAAACGAAAATTCATACACTCCCAAATTTCCAATCACTTCAGTCCAACCCCAACATCGTCAGCGCCAGCCTTCAGGTGACCCACAACAACCAAGCAATTCACCAGCAGAAGGAGCAGCTCAAGGGACCCTTGCATAGACCCTTCAACTTTGCACCATACCTGGGTTCAACCCACATCATGCCACATTGACATTTGGAACTGCACCATCTTTGGTACAACTCCTCTTTTTGTTCTGCTGATGTGTTGATGCTTTCACTTGCCCGCCTGCACTGCCATCAGAATGGCATTGCCCAGTGACAGTTCCAGGAATTAATCACTTGCTGCAGTCTGTTGTGGATGGAGGGTGTCTCACAACCAAGCCCTTCATTGTTAGATTTCTCAATGAAGATGAGCGCCTTGACTGAAACAATGTTGATGAGTTTGGTTTTACTTCCCACACCACTTTGTTTTAGCTGCACCCATGGCTATTCAGTTTTTAGGCTATTCACAATTCCCAATGCACATCAGTTTTTTTGGGTACTAACTTTTAACCTTCCAGAGGCTGTTGATTGTAACCACAGAGTTGTGGTCTGGAACCTCATTGAGCACTGGCAGTGGGAGAATGTCTACGAAGTTCTGCCAGCAGCTGCAGGGATGGAACTCAGCTGGATCATCCTTGACTGCATCTCTGGCTTTGAGAACTACATCAACTTGGCAGGCTCAGTTGTCCTGAATGCTTTTGAGAAGGCCCTGAACTACTACACCCTTGGCCAAAACCCACTCTTCCAGATCATGTGTGGCAAAAAAACTGTTACTGACTACAATGCTCTTGCTGAGCACCTGGTATGTCCACCACCTTTGTATTCCAAACCATTACTCATCACCCCACACCTCACAGAAAACACTCAAAGGTCATGCTGCACCAAAGCCCACCACTCTACAGAAGTACTCAACTACCTTAAGGGCCCTGTTCAATGCTCCAGGAGTGGTGGAGTATGTTATTTCTACTCTAACTTGTCACCTTTGTTTTGAGTCCTCACTAACTGTTCCCCTTTTCCAGTCTTATCAAGGAACTCAATTGCCTCGTTCCAGAGGGTCAGGTGTTCATCTCCCTTGACAACCTCAACTCTGGTGCCTTCAGGGAATTGAGTGCCAACAACATGATCACCATGCTTCACCATTATAAGCACTATCAACACCAAACCCCTTCCAAGAGTATGTCCTTTCTTTTTAGTAATTGTTATTCACCTGACAAGTCTAACTAGTACTTCCCTCTTGCCAGAGAACTTCTGGTTGCTAATCACCAACCACTGGAGCATGATCAAAAGGCAGATGGAGGCCTTTTGTCAGGCTGTTCATGCAGCCATGGAGGCTGACTGCTGCTGTGAAGATCCTGAGGAGCTTTGCCACATCTGGGACTGGATCTGTGTTGTGGAATACATTGTGCTGTGTGGTAAAAACATTGAGATTGAGCAGCCTCACAGCATCACCTCTGAAGTTGACACGTTCTGCAAGCACCTGTTCCAGTCAAAACTTCTCAGTGATGAGGCAGTGGAGACCTCTCCTCACCAGTTATGAAGGGAGATCACACATGCCACCACAGCCTCTCAAGCAGAGGAGGCCTCCCTTGCCTCAACATCCACAAGTGAACAGTGCTGGTGTCTCTCTGTGTTGGCCAAGGGGAAAATGGTACAAATCAACTCCTTCCTGTTCCAATTCACACCCCATTACTTTCACTTACACCACTTTTATCTGACTTCAGCCTACAGTACCCACTGCCACTGGCACCACTCTGACCACCCCAACCAGTACGTTTGCATTTTGCTGGTAAAGTTCCAAGCTCACCACATGCTTGTTCTTTACAGCTACCAAGAAACGTGGCAAGGGTAAGGCTGAAGAGGAAAAGTCGCCATCTACCATCAAGCACAAGGCAGAGCTTGCTCTCCAGAAAAAGTATCTCCCCCAATTCACTGAGCCGCTCACCAAGCTTCTTGGCCAACCAACGCAATTCCATGAATGGCTGGTGTGTTTATTGTCCTGCATTGTTTTCCTGATGCACATCAGTTTTTTATTTGTTGACACTTTTCCCTGATGCACATCAGGTTTTTATTTGTCAACTCTTTTCCCTGATGCACATTGGTTTTTCTAATTTCACTTATTTCCTGATGTCCACCAGTTTTTTTCTTCCACAGGTGTCAATCTACCTGCACAACTTTACCATCCACAGCACAGACATTCCTCTAAATTCTTCATTGCCCCCATCTGCTTTTACCATGACCTACACCATTTTTCCCTGTTTTGCCACACTCTGTACATATTTTGCCAAAACCACTCACACACCATGTTCACAAAAGTACTGCTTTTGCTGCACATACACATATATCACTTGTACAGATTGTACTTTACAAAAGGTGCCACTGGCACCTTTTTCTGGACACAGTGTTAGTCCCTCAATATCACTCATCAGCAGTGGTCTAGCATGTCTGTAATATCATCTGCAAAATGGTCATAAAATCATCTGTTGTCAGGCCAAATGGCTACAAAATTATCTGTCTTCTACAAAAATGGTCATAATAATCATCAGTTGTCTGGCTACAAATTCATTTGTCATCTGCAAAAATGGGCATATCCTTTAGGAAACGGTAAAAAATCCCTACTGCACAACAGGAGCAGTTTTGAAACTGTTTCAAAAAAAATTGTGTTTCAATTCATGCCATGTACTTTGTCTCTTTACAGTACATTCACCTCTTTCCTCACGTTCTCACGTACCACGGCTCCTCAGTCATCATCACTTGACCTTTCCAACAGAGAGGTAAAGCACAGAGCACAGAGGACCGGGGTACCAGTCATCTTCGCCTTGCCTCTTGAACTCAACAATGTCGACCGGCAGTGTACATTGACCAGCCTTCAGTGACACTTTGGTGGCAGATAGCGGGTGGAGGCCAATGATAAGTCCAAGTCTGTTCCGACAGCAGTGGTGCTTCTGGATGTTTGAGTGCTTGCCGGGCGTTGACCATGAATGCCTCAGCCAGCACCCGAGCTCAGCCCCTTCAGCAAGCATCGCGTTGCAGGCGTTGTCGAGCTCTACGTGGTCTTGCGTGCGGGCAAGCTGTGGTAAAAGCGTCAATGGAAAGGTTCTAATCAGACACAGAAGTAAAACCAACAAGAGGGAAAGCACCTGCATGAGTGGCAAGTCCTCACCCGCCAAAGGCACATCAGCGAACATCTCCACACGAGGCAGATAAGCCCCGCCCACCAAGTTGGCGACTCGTTGAGGATATGGCGCAGTGGTCAACTTCTATCGGCCCAGCTTGGCGATGCTGGACGCAGTTTCTGCTGCCACAGCGCACGCAGGCCTGTCACTTGATGCAACACTGCCGCCCTGACGAGGTTGAATATGTTTTCAATTTGTTTTTCCCTCTCTCTCTGTGATGTTTCCAAAAGGCTAAGCAAAGCGATTGAAGAAACTTGGACTGGGTTTGAACAGAGTGGGAAGCATGATCGGAATGGAATGAAACAGGTTTGACCGGCGGTGCGAAGGGCGAAGAAGTCTTTATTCACCCCTTCCGTACCGAAGCCAAATCTGGTGCGAGCGGTCATCTAGTCGTGCGTGCGCGCGTGTGCATTATCATTGCGGGTGCGTGTGTCGTGCGTGCGTTTTGTGTGTCGTGAAGCTGAAGGCAGGCACCGACTTGGCCGTCCTCGGTCGGGGGTGAATCAGTCGCCTTGGGAGAGGCCGGAATCGTGGTAGAGGAATGTGTGCGCATGCATGAGATATCTATTGAGCACCGACGAGGGCGGGGGGAGAGGAAGGCTACGTACCTCTCGAGGGTCACTTCTGAAGTGTTGATGGTTTCACCCCTTCCTAAACGAAGCGTGGATCATGAACAATCGCCTGCACCTCCTACACAGCGGCAATTGGGTAACAGCTGTTGAGGATCATGTGCACACACACACACACAGTACATCGCGGTAGTACTAGTACGTTCCCTCGGCCAATGCCACTCAACGTGGTCACGCGGGCGCACGCGTCGAGTCATGACCGCAAGCTGCGGAGGCCCGCTGGTGCGAAAAACGGGGAGGAAGGACGTGAAAAGGACTTTAAAAAGAATGAAAGTGCATCAAGCAAGAGGACAACAAGATCGCTGAGCTAAGTGCCCAGCTGCAGCGAGTGCTCGCGGCCTGCACGAGCAGCGCGTGCTGGCCTACAAACGATGGGAGAAGTACGAACCGATTCGCATCATTTGCTCAACGCCATTGATGCAGACCGATGTGATGAGTGGGGTCACTGTGCAGGGCCTTCAGGGAGTATGTGGCACTGGAGGACCAGGCTGCGGGCTGTGAAGACTACCAAGATGCCATCAAGGAGGCGGTGATGAACTAATGTCACCTACAGGCTCGCACCTCTCGCTACGTGAAAGAAGGGCGTTTATTGTGCTAGCGCCCGAACAACTACAGTTGTTGGGTGGTGCCCCAGGCCGAAGGGAACAGCTGGCAAGCCGACGCAGCATCGAGCCGGCGTTCAGGATCGATGCACAGCAACTGGGTGACTAATCCCCACCGCGCCCTCGTCAACTGCGGTCCCCTGCTCCAACGAAGGAAGAGTGAATGTGAGAGGGGGGGGATGAGCATGATCATGAGAGAATGAGGATGAGGAGATCGTACACAGTGCAGGCTGGGCCAGCTGATGCCTGCGCCCACTGCGCCACCTCCTCGAACGACATGCGCGAAACCTCCTGGTTGACTTGGTCGTCTGGCATCGGCACGTTGAGCAGCTGCACAGCGAACAGATCATCTGTTAGTCTCGTGCTGTGCTGTGCTGTGCTGTGCTGTGCTGTGCTGTGCTGTGCTGTGCTGTGCTGTGCCTCAGGTGTACCTGCCAAGCGATCAAGACCCCGGCGGCCCAGATGTCGATCTTGTGGGAGACTTGTGGGCACCACCCGCAGCTGTCAAGAAGCTCGGGGGCCAAGTACCCAGGTGTGCCCACCGGAGCAAACTCAGACCACGTACTGCCCAGCCGCCGGTTCGTCGCGACTTCGAAATCGATGATGGTGAGCTCCCCAGTCGGGATGCTGTAGAGAACGTTGTTGTGCGAGATGTCGTGGTGCACAACACCCAGCTCGTGGAGCTCCCGTAGGGCCTGCCTCATGATCGATTGTAACGCATGTGCGGTTGTTAGTCGTGTGGTGTGGTGTGGTGTGGTGTGGTGTGGTGTGGTGTGGTGTGGTGTGGTGTGGTGTGGTGTGACATATGGAAGCTGCAGATCAGCATTCCTCGCATATTTTCACAAACAAGTGTGGTGGAAAGACAACATTTCTACACAAACCCAAATACATACCGACAGTAGTTGGAAGACATAGGAAGCGAATGTGGAGTCTGGTTGGCGGTATGCCTCTTCGTGTTCTGTTTCGTGAGGTTTCACATGTGAAACATGAGAAGAGTATAGAATGGTGCATTGCAGGCCTGTTGTTGCAGGTGTGCAGGGAAGCGAAGAGGGTATCGTCAGTACCTATGCAGCCCAGCACAAGACCATGATACCATTCTTTGCCGCACTCGAACAGACCCGAGGTCAGGAAACGGGGAATGTGCCGCGTTACTCCCTGGAGCCTCTTCAGAATGCCGGCTTCCTGCTTGCCTTTGACCACGTCCCGCACCAACTTGAGCACCAGCAGGTCCCCCTCTGCTGACCTGAGCAGCCACACTTGGCTTCTTTTCGTCTGTGCTGACCCTCACGCGTCAGTTGACAACAAAGCAGCTGAGCCCCTGTAGAGCACCACCGCATTCATCCGGGGGGGGGGGATTACCCGGGCGAGCTGCCGAATGGGCACCCCAGCGCCGTGGGTGCGTGGTACGGGGCCGATTTCCTCGTCATGTTGCTGGCCACGGTCTGCTCGCTTGTGCTTGCGGCGCCGAGTGTCAGGTCGTTGTTTCTCATTCTGCTGCTGCTGCCCCTGCTGCTGTTGCTTGTGTTCACGCTTCCTCTTCTTCTCCTCCTCTCGTTTGTCGTCGTCGTCGTCGTCGTCGTCGTTGTCGTCAGGCCCTCCCTGCTCGCCTTTCCTCTTTCTCTCCTCTCGTGCAGACTTACTACATTCGGAGCAGTACCAGGCCTCGTCCTGCGCGGGGAGCTGGGCCATCTCGATACACGACGGATGGCACCACCTGGCGCACTGGTGGCACTCGACGTACTGGGCACCGTCGTCGATCCGCTTGCAGACGCAGTAATGCTTCTTCCAGAGGTCGTCTCGCGGGTCTGGCAGTTCACCGGCAAACTGCGTTACGAAGTCTTCCAGCATGGCCTCCTCCCTGATGACGTTGGCAACGATGTGATGGCGCAGCAGGAAGAGCCGCTTCATGTCCCTCTTGCTCGCCAGCCGCGCCGAGTAGAGGGGCACCACCTTGCTCCGCGATGTGCTCCCGTTTCGCAGGGTCGCTGGGCCGAGAACGATGGCCATCTCGACAGAGCTGCCCGACAGCTGCGTGCAGTAGCTGACGGGGAAGGTACGGTCCATCGGGCGGTATGCCTGCCCCTCTCTCAGCTCCATGCGGTCGAGGGCATTGATGAGGTCCATCCGCTGGAAGCATGCCACCAGACCCTGCCACAGCAAGCGGTCCCTACACAGAGGCAACACCCCCCCCCGCGCGCGTGGTGTAGGTGAGCATAGAAATGTACATGCATAGAAGTACAGAGCACAGAGGACCGGTCCGTACCAGTCATCTTCGCCTTGCCTCTTGAACTCAACAATGTCGGCCGGCAGGGTACATTGACCGGCCTTCAGCGAGCGCCACTTTGGCGGCAAATAGCGGGCGGAGAGGCCGATGACTGCGTCCGGTCGCAGAAGCCCCTCTCTGGGCGTTGTCGATCGTGCCCCCACCATCGCCACATTCCTTAAGTGGCGTGGTGGGTGGTGGGTGGGGGAAGTGGCAAATCAGAATTTGGAGGGGCGGGGACGGAGAGGGAGGGAGAGAGGGAGAGAGGGAGGACCACGAACCCATCCAGTGACACGGCTGTGGGCGGGTGGCCTGCGAGGACGAGGTGGCCATGGAGGAGAAATGTCCAAGTCTGTTCTGAAAGCAGTGGTGCGTCTGGAAGTTTGAGTACATGCCGGGCGTTGACCATGAATGCCTCAGCCAGCACCCGAACATCGGCACCCTCGTCAAGCATCGCGTTCCAGGCGTTATCGATCTCTTCGTGGACTTTCGTGCGGGCAAGCTGTGGTACAAGCGTCGAGAGAGGAAAGGTGCTTCATAAGCATAAGTAGATAACAACGACAAGAGGGTTGAATTGGTGGAGCACCTGCATGAGCGGCGTTAAATCCACACCTGCCAAAGGCATATCGGCGAACGCTTCGGCATGAGGTATATGAGACCCGCCCACCAAGTTGGCGATTCGTTGGGTATATGGCGCATTGGTCAACATCGCTCGGCCCAGCTTTGTGATGCTGGACGCAGTTTCGGCAGCGCGCGCAGGCGTAATGGCTGCCTGCCGTGAACGAGTGTGTGTCGGTGTTGCTGTCACCGCTGTCAGCAGATTTACACAGAAGAGGCTGGGCAGTACCTGAAGGACCCATTATTGCGGTGGCACGCTCTCCATCTGGCCTAGGTGATGTGTCAGTGAATTCCCTTCGCTTGGCGTTGCTCATCTCGACCAACTTGTACGATTTTTTGATCTGTACGATTTGTTTTCCCGCCACGGGGGCAAGTGTGGCTCTCGAAATTTCAAGTGCGCCTGCTTCCTCGAACGTGCCTCGCATTCTTGCGGTTATGCCGCAGAAAGAAAAAAATGCATCAAGAAGACAACAAGATCGCTGAGCTAAGTGCCCAGCTGCAGCGAGTGCTCGGCCTGCACGAGCAGCGCGTGCTGGCCTACAAACGATGGGAGAAGTACGTACTGATTCGTTTCATTTACTCCACACGATTGATGCGGACCGATGCGGGGCCTATTCGCTATGTAGGGCCTTCAGGGAGTATGTGGCACTGGAGGACCAGGCCGAGGGCTGGGAAGACTATCAAGATGCCATCAAGGAGGCGGTATGAATCACACCTACAAGGCACTACATCCATCTCATCTTCGCCCTAGACAGGTGAGTTCGTGAAAATCTCAACGGCCGTGCGGGAGGTCGAGGCCCAGCTGGCGCTGTCCAGGCCAGACCTGGCGGCCATGGTGCGCAGCCTGCAGGAACTGGAGAAGCAAAAGCTTCAGCTCGTACGCTGCCTCTCTTCATCCTCTTCTTGGCCGCAGCCGCAAGACGGTCTGCTCACGCGTTGGGGAGTGCTTTGCTGGACACAGACGGCCAAGGTGCAGGCAGGCAAGGAGAAGGCAGTGGTGACAGAACGCGTCGATGAAGAGGTCGACTGGGTGTGGGAGCGAGAGGAGAAGGGCATGCGAAACCAGCTGAACGGCCTCGTCGAGGAGATCAACCTCGTCATCGACTCCTTGCGCGTCGAACTGCAAGATCTCGCTCCGCCCAGCTCTGAAGAAGCCAACGAATAAAGAAACACCACGATGGAAGCAGAGGTAAAATTGCTTGATCTTCTTCTTCTTGTACGGGCAGAAAGGAGTGTGGTCGATGTCCTTCAGCTGTACTTGAACTCGACCACGACGAGGTACTTGATCAACAGCTGCGCGACGTCGTACACGATGAACTCGTTGTAGAGCAGACTCGTGTTCGACGTGCCCGTCGGCACCGGCTTGCCCAGCGGCACCACCGTTCCATCCGTCCTGCGTCAACCACCCAACCACCAACCAACCACCCAACCGCAGCAACGTGTAAGTGACATCATCTCCATCGTCATACCATCATCATCATCATGAGGGGCGCATGGTGGAGTGTACATGGTGACGTTCTCGGCGGGGTCGGGTCCGGTGGCGCCGCAGCCCTTGGTGGAGTCGAAGCCGGGCTTGTTGGCGTTCATGAACTCGGCCTGCGTGCAGTCGTACGTCTTGCCCAGGGCCACGCGCGAGAGCAGCATCACGCCCACCGGGTTCTCGCGGCTCGCGTGACAGTAGTTGGCGCTCTTCGTCACCAAGTCCGCAAAATAGACTGCGTACACCATCCACACAGCAACAAATATATCGTCAACATCATCATCATCACCTTCTTCTTCTTCTTCTTCTTGAATGAAGCTGTGATGAGGTGCGCACCTCCTTTTCCGAACATGTAACCGGTCGAGGGGGCTTCAGGCGGCGCAATACGAAGACCCTAAGGGGAAAGAAGCGATTTGGTTGATTGGCTCGCGGCTACGTGCGGTTAGGGTTGTTTCGGCCGAAAGAGCGTACCTGCGAGAGGATGCCCATCCAGTTCGTGAGCCGCGAGCCGTGCCACAGCAGCTGCTGGTTGCCCAGCGCCGCGTAGGGCTTGAACCGCTCCTCCTCGCCCGGCCGCTCCACCGCGTACAGCTCCTGCGACGCGAAGAACGAAGAACGAAGAAGAGCCCCCCCCCTCGTCAGTGAATGAAGCCAAAAGCGAAGGCGGAGAAAGGGCAAACCTTGAGGCGGAGCTTGTAGCTGGTGTGCGTGGGCGCGTGGGTGTTCTTGACGTACTGGGCGACGATGCTCCAGTCCCGGCTGTTACGGTCGACGGGCTCGAGGGTGGTGTTGAGGGCCTTGTAGGAGGAGTCGATCGGGTGCTCGCCCGACACGGCGCTGCCCTTCAGCAGCGACGTGGCGATCTCGATGTCGCCCAGCGCCTCGAGCATGGCCATCTTCTTCTTCAGCTGCTTGTTCGTGTCCAGCACCGGCGGTCGGCCCATGCCAAAGTCGTGACTGGCCACACACACACGAGTGAGCTGATCGGCCGAATGGAGGAGTGCGGGGGGGGGAGAGCGTACGGGATGAGCGAGTAGAACTCGTTGGTGAGCTCGGTGAGCTTGGCCTTGTTGATGGGGGCGCGGCCTAGCACCTTCTCGATCTTCTTCAGCACACCGTAGCCCTTGTTGATGTGATTCTTCTTCAACTTGCCTGCACGTTCATTCAACACCGTGTTAGAAGAAAAAGAACGAAGACCGAAGAACGAAGAAAAGAATGAAGGTGCACCGAGAGGCATCTTGTTGATGTCAAACTCCATCTCAACGAGCGTCTCCTTCATCATGCTGAGGTTGCAGATGAGCTTGACCAGGTACTGCAGGCGGTCGTCGAGCTTGCATTCGATGTCTCCGTCGTCATCCACCTTCTTCAGCGCCTTCTTCTGCTTCTCCACCGCGTCGTCCTGCAGCACGCCAAGCCACACGCAACGACCAACCGCCGCACGACACGCACGTCACACACCACACCACACCCACACGTGTGTTTCACGTTCAGCGTCAGGCCACAAGTGAGAGAAATCAAATCTGTAGCGGCGCGTACGTCATCGTCGTCGTTGGCGCCGTAGTCGAGCTCGACCATGGTGTACTTGCCCTTGACGGGCTCGAAGTTGGCCCGGTCGTCAAAGTCATTGCCGGTCTTCTCGCGGAACCTGTTGTCGCCCCCCAAACCGATGCCCGTCGCGCATGAGAATCGAGAGAGAGAGAGAGAGAAGCGCGTGTCGTGTCGTGTCGTGTGTTGCATGGGCGCGTGCTTGTACTTTTTGTCGAACTCTCTCTTGGCCTTGTCCACGCTGGAACCGCACGCGACCAGCTTGCTCTGGCCGATCGCTCCCACTGTGTTCGAACAAGTGAGTTGGGTCAGTCCACCACGCACAACACGACACGACACGACACACGGCCAGCGACGTGGCACACATACCGCGGCCCCATCTGGTCCACACCCAGAAGCTCTTCTTGTTGTCGTCCTCGAGCAGCTGCAGGACGTAGAACTTGTTGTTGTTGTGCGAGATGTTCGTCTGACCGCCGAGAACAACGAGAAGAAGAAGAGATGAGTTGGTCTCTCGACGAGGTCTACCCCCGCAATCAACTCTCAATTTACCAACGAAGTTAAGTTACCTGGTTGAGCATGACGTCGTAGATGTCGTCTTCCTCTTCATAGATGTGCGCCTGCGTGACCGGATTTGACAAATGGAGAATGAATGAGGTGAATGCTCTCATGATTTGATTGGGCAGCGCGCGCGAGAGAGAGAGAGCGGTGTACCCCTTTCTGTACGTGGGCGGGAGCGTTGGGGTCCACCGCAGATCGGCCCTTCTTGATCAGCTTCACTTTCTTGGACGATGACGACGACGAGAAGATGACGAGCTGGGCGGCGCCTTTCGCTTCTCTGTTGTTTGTCGGCCACCCGCACACGCAAACGTTTAACACCAAACGTGAGATCGCGTGACACTCACCGCCCATCTGAGACGACGGGAGAGCAAACAACGTACTCGTGGGCGCTTCCTCCTCCTCCTCTTCCTCTTCTTCGTCGTCGTCGGCCTCGCCAAAGGGGTTGAACTTGGCGGCGCTGAGCATCTTGCCCTGCTTAACACTTCCCCGTCACCCAGTCATCCCTGTGTGTGTGTGTGTGTGCCCGAGAGGTGCTCGGGTGAGCGAGACGCTGAGGCCAGAGTGGCGAGAAAGCGAGAGCGCGTACGTGACGAGCGGGATCTTGAGGCGCGAGGCTGCCTCGAGCACCTCCGAGTCGTCCTTCTCTTTGTTGGAGCACACCACGAAGTCGACCTGGCGTGGCCCATGATAAAGAATTGATTTGAATTGTTAATTTAATTCAATGCCGGTTGATTATGTTGGGATTTACAAAATGGTGAAGGGCGGGCACCTTTGGATTTACGTTTTCGACGGGACAGCCTCCATGAGAGACTACTTTCTCGATGAGATCGTCGCGCACCTTCTTTGTGTAGGATCGCGGTGCGATAGTGATTATCTGGTCGTCGAACACAGCCGGCTTCTTGGTGCACTTCATTGGTACCTCGCTCTTTGTGTGGGCTTTCTGCAATTCGCAATTTGATCCCAACGCGTTCGCGCCAAATTGATTGCGCATATTTTCCACGAATTAATTAAAAAGAGGAAATGCTTGTTTCTTTTTTGAATTTACTTCAATTGAGAGTAGGCTTCCGCCGGCAAGATGAAGAGCAACCAAGTCCAGAAAGTGTCGGACGTGCCCAAGTTCCTCGACTCGTTCGATACCTTCCTTCTGGATTGTGATGGTAGGTTTCATCATGCCGCACAAATGAGCGATTCATCTCACACCTCATTTCATCTTCCGCCCAATTCCGCAGGCGTGTTGTGGCGAGGCTCAACCCTGTTGCCGCACACCAAGGAAGTCCTCCAGCAGCTTCGCTCCATGGTGCATATTATTTTTTTATTCATTTATATACATATTTATATATTTATGTATATCCTTTGTTTTTTGGATGCGTGTGCTGTGTCGTGCAGGGCGTGCGTTATTTATAAATAATTATATTATTGGTACTAAATTATATTTTTAATGCACAATCGTGTAGGGCAAGCGTCTGTTGTTTGTGACGAACAACAGCACCAAGTCGCGCGAGGACTACAAGAAGGTGTTTGCCAAGTTCGGGATCGAGGTGTCGGCCGACGAGGTCATCTCGTCGTCGTCGGCCGTCGCCCACTACCTCAAGGACGAGGCCCACTTCACCAAAACCGCCTACGTCGTCGGCGAGGCCGGCATCACCCGCGAGCTCGACGCCCTGGGCATCTCCTGGATCGGCGGTGTCGTACGTAGTCTGCTCTTGCCTGTGTGCGGCGCGTTCTTGCGCGGCGCTGTGTGCGTGTGCGGTGTGCGGTGGCGCGTGGTGCGCCTCGTTAACTGGAGCTTCGCAGGACCACAAGGAGAACATGACCATGCAGGAGCTGGAGCACATTGAACTTGATCCTCGGGTTCGTCCCTGCTTCTTCTTCTTCTTCTTCTTCTCCGCATCTCGCTCACTGTCGTGTTGCATGTCGTTGGTCGTGTTGTATCCTTCGTGGCTGATGTTGTGCAGATCGGAGCTGTGGTGGTCGGGTACGCGCTTGGTCGTTTGGGTTTTGAAGTGTCTATTGTTTGCCAAAGGCTCACCGAAGCTGGCGCGCGCGTGTGCAGGCTGGACACCAACATCAACTACCGGAAGGTCGCCTACGCGCAGCTCCACCTCCGAAACCGCCCCGAGACCCTCTTCCTCGCTACCAACGCCGATTCCACCTTCCCCTCCGCTGGCCACATGCTGCCCGGTACGCACATAAACCGCGCCATTCCCGCTCGCGCTAGCTCTTCTCATGAAAAAACACTCACCATTGTGTGTCGCGTGTGTCGTGTGTGTCGCGTGTGTTGCACAGGCTCTGGCACGATGGTGGCCATGGTGGAGGCGTGTAGCGGCCGCAAGGCGTTGGTTATCGGCAAGCCCAGCAAGACCCTGATCGATCTCGTCGTCCACCAGTACGGCCTCGACAAGGAGCGCACGTGCATGGTGGGCGACCGGCTCAACACCGACATCCAGTTCGGCCTCAACGGCGGCATCTCTACGCTGCTCGTCTTGACCGGCGTCACCACCGAAGAAGAGCTCATGAGCCCCGACAACCCCACTCACCCTCACCACTACATTCCCGCCTTTGGCGATCTCCTTCTTGCCTCGTCTTCTTCTCATCTTCTTCTTCGTAATACAACGTAACGTGTAGAAGACATTCAACATTGTTTTTTGGAGAAAGTGTGCTGGTAGCAGCACGTTTACAGTTCGAGGGAGGTGGTGGTCGAGTTGATGCCGTTGTAGATGAAGGTGTTGTTGATCGGCAGCCACTGGGCGGTGATCACCTTGATGGCCTCCTGCGACGCGACGCCGCCCATCAGCGAGGCGACGTTGTGCAGCTCCGAGCCACCGAACCGGCACGTCTCGTGCACGACGGCCTCGCTCACGAGCGACGTGTCGAGCGACAGCTCCTTGAGCAAGCCCTCCACCTGCTCCTTGAGCAGCGGCACGTCCGCCAGGACCTGGTCGTTGGTCCAGCCGGGCAGGCGGCCGTGCGCCGCGTAGAAGCGATCGACGGCCCGCAGCACCACGTACCACGGCAGGTTGCCCTCGGGGTCGGAGAGCGCCTCGCCTGCCGCCCCGCGTGTGACGTCAGCAGACCAAGGGAGGAAAGGAAAAAGAAGGAAAAAGAAAGAAAAGGAGTGGTGGTACCGAGCTCGGCGGCGTTGGCGGTGGCGGGGTCGTACTCCTGGGCGAGGGAGCGGATGCGGAGCACCCGGAGGAAGAGCGAGTTGCGGCTGACGTGGCGCACGTACTCGTCGCTGATGGTGCGGGTGGGGGCCAGCTCGCGCACGATGCTCGCCACCTCGGCCGCGTCAGCAACCGCCTACGATTTGCGCGACAACACAACAACTTTCTACGTCAGCATGTTGCGCTGCGCTGCATGTGTGTCGTGTCGTGTCGTTGGTCGCGTGAAAGGCGAGAGGGCAGCGGGACTGGACCTTTTCCTGGTAGACCTGAAGGAGCGCGACGTAGGTGTTGGTGTCGGCGTTCATGTCGGGAATGGAGCCGAGGAGCGGCAGCACGTGATGCCTCTCGACGAAGCGCGCGATGGCGGCAACCACGAGCCAGAAGTCGGCCGAGTCGGCGGTCGGGTTGCGCGCCTTGGGGTCGTCGAGCACCGACTGCACCTCGTAGGGCACCGCGAAGGGGGTCCACGCCTTGAACGCGGCGGCGATGGCCTCCTCGAAGTTGAGCTCGTTCTCGTGCTGGCCCTCTCGCAGCTGCTCCTTGAACAGGGCCTTCTCGTCGCGAGTCTCGGGCGCCTTGCCGCCGTGCTCGGCGCGCCACTTCTGGAGCTGCTTGACCAGCAGCACGATGAACGGCACGTGGCTGTAGTGGTGCGAGTCGAGCTCGGCCATGTTGATGGCCTCGGCGAACTTGATCAGCTCGTCCCACGGCTCGTACACGCGCAGGTCGTCGGGAGCATCATCCGGCTTCGACTCCACGACTGTCACACGTTGTGCCGTGTGCGGTATTTCAGTCAGCAGCACGACACACACGCACACCACACGCACACGACAACACACACACAAACACGATGTAGAGGAGGCGCACTGGTGTGTTCGGGGACGGTGAGGCGGAGGTAGCCGACGAAGCCGTAGGAGCGGCAGGCGAAGAGGGGAATGTTGTGCGCGTAGAGGAAGGCGGCGAGCTTGAGCAGCGCCTTCTCGGACACGTTGGTGGCGATGACGAGGGTGAAGCGGCCGAAGAAGGAGACGTCCTCCTCGATGATGGCCTCGGCGTCCTTGTCCACGGCGGTACCGTTCACGAACTCGTTGAGCTCGTTGAGGAGGTGGGTAGTGGCCTCGGCCCTCGACTTGCCCAGGCTGGCGAAGTCGAGGAAGAAGTTGTTGCCGAGATCGGACGCCTGCACCTTGTGGCCATCGACGATCGTGAACGAGCCGATGCCTGCACCACACGATTGATTGATTTTGCGAATGATTATTGTTGATTTTTAAGTGAAGACCATCACTTCATCACATTGGGCAAAAGCGAGATACGCAGCGCAGGCGACCTGCGGGAGTAGCATTAAAGTGGAAATGGATGGCTCTCGTACCAGGCAGAACAAGATTCTTGAGGATCTCAGTTCCAGTAGCGCTGGCATTAATGAGGCAGACCTTCGCGTTCTCAAGACGCTGCTGACCATCAGCGCCCCACAGCCTAAATCAAACACACGATTTTTAACCATTTACTTGGCTCAAATAAATCAAACAATTGGCCTTCTAGCGGCAACCATCAGTCACGCGTGGGCATCGATTCGTACCTGAGCTGCCTGTCGTACTTCTCCTCCTTCTTCTTGTCGATGGCCTGTGCCTCCATTTCGTCGTATGCTCGTTCTGCCAGAAATGCACCCAAACCGCGTTTGATTTGTTCGCCCTTCTGTGCACACACAGAAATGAATTCACTGATAGTTTATTTTTAATTTTATTTGTTATTTCTTGTTCTCTTTTTTAGCGAGCGACTACTCGTTGAGGAGCCAGGACTCTTCATGAACCCAGTCCGTCAGCTCGCGATCACTGACATGACCAGAGACGCGGCGAGCCTCCTGCCCACGCGAGTAGGCCAGGATGACCGGCCACCGCGGGTGGTGTTCCGTGCGGGCCGCGGCCGCGGCAGCCGACGGCGCTACATGAAGCCGTTGGGCCAGGTCGGGATGTGCCTTCACGTCGAGCACCCGCATGACGCACCTCCCGGCCGTCCTCAGCACTTGATGCTTCAGCTTCTCCTCCGTGTCAGCGTACTTGGCCCGCTCGTCTCTGTGTACTACACGTGTGAGCCGCTACGCGGTACGAGAAGCAGCTGAATCGAAGAAGCAAAGGTAACGCACCCGGGCACGCAGTAGATGAAGACGGGCAGCTTGATGTGGCCCTTGTCATGAATGACGTCGGTGAAGTTGATGTTCGTCAGCTCGTCCACCGCCGCTGGCTCTGGCGCAGCCGCGTCGCTGGCATAGCCTGGCGCTGGCACGTTGGCAAGGCCTCGACGTGGCACCACATCGGCCCGCGTGTCGTGCGGCCCACGGCGTAGGAGGTGGTTGGCAGCAGAGACTCGCCGTTACGCAGAAGACATGCAGGGAAGGCGCTACGCGAGCTCGAAAGATGGAACGCTCGTCTGCTCACTAACGCATGCCAACGAACAGAAACGTGGGTGATGCAGACGGTGGGTGGGTGCACAACAGCGTTGCTTGCGACTTTGATCGATTTGATTCGAGTAGGGGGTGTGGAAAGGCAGCAGGCTCTGTACCTTGGAGGGGGTGCCACGATGGGCGAAGAAAGCTGTGGTCACTCTGGCGCGTGTGGTTTGCATTGGGTGGTTCTTGTGGCAGAGATGTGGTAAAGGTTCCAGTTATGCACTAGCACCGTGGCAAGCGAGAGCACCGCTGACGTCAGCCCGTGTTGGCCACTTCTAGCTCTCTTTCGGCATGGATTTCGTCTGCGTCCCTTCGCGCAAGTTACGCGGAACAGGTCCAAGCTCTGAGGTCGTTGAGGACGCAAGGTGGTCCAGTGCAGTGTTAGTGTTGTCCCCGTCGCAGGGACCACCTCAAGCAGAATGGCTCCAACCTCAGCTGCCTTGTTGCTTCTTTTCTTTTTGTTTTCTTTTCGGATTCTGAGAGGTCTGGCTTTTCTTCCGCCCTTTTTCTCGTAGTTCTTTTGGCCGGCATCCTTCAACTTTCTTTCTCGATTTTACACGATCGACTCCGCGTGTAGAGCCAGAACCATCAGATCAGGGATGGGAATGAAGCGAAAGATCGGTGGCGGCGGCGGTGGCAGAGGAGGCGGAGGTGGCGGATCGCCTTCCGCCAAGAGGGCTCGCGGATCGGGCGATGGGGGCAGCCGTGGGCGTGGAAGCAGAGGAGGCGGTCGTGGAGGCGCCATGAGCTCGCGTGGAGGAGCTGGAGGCCGCGGAGGAAGCATGAGCCCGCGCAGGGGCGGCGGTGGTGGCCGCGGAGGTGGTCGTGGAGGTGGCCGTGGAGGAAGCATGAGCCCTGGGCGTGGCGGCCGTGGAGGTGGTCGTGGAGGAAGCCGCGGTGGGCGCGGTGGGTTTGGAAGCCGCGGAGGTCGCGGCGGTCGCGGCGGTCGTGGCGGCAGGGATGAGCGAGACGATCGCCGAAGGCCTCGCGATGAAGATGAAGATTTTTCGGAAGATGAGGAGATTGACGCCGAAGAATTCGAGAACGGAAATGAGGATTCGGACAGAGAAGTGGAGCCTGTGGACGATGCTTCCGCTGACGAGGCTGGAGGCGAGGGCATGATCGATTTTGGACTGGGTCGCGGGCTCAAGAAGAACAAGAAGGCCGCCGTTTGGAGGAAGATGAAGCGGAAGATGAGGACAAAGACGACGAGGAAGAGGAAGATGAGGAGATTGAGAACGATGACGACGCCTTGACACTGGGTCCCGATGAGGACGAAGACGAGGACGACATGGCCATGCACAAGCAACAGCTGGAGGAGCTGAAGGAGAAAGATCCAGAGTTCTACAAATACCTGCTCGAGAACGACAAGCGTCTCCTCGAGTTCGGCACTGGGGTACGTCGCTGCATTTATTCATTTATTTAATAGCAAATAAAATAATAAATATAGTATAATAAAAGAAGATTATAAATAAATAAATCACTAAATAAATAAAATTATTGCTAACATTGCGCGCCACAGGAAGAGGACCAGGACGACGAGGACGAGGACGAGGACAGCGATGGCGCAGAGGAGGGCATGGACGATCTGGAAGATGACGACGACGATGAAGACGACGACGACGACGAGGAGCCCAAGAAGAAGAAGGCCAAGAAGGAGGAGCCGCAGGGCAAGCTCCTCACGCTCGAGGAGCTCAAGAGGTGGCAAGCCTTCGCCCTCAAGGGCTCGCTGTACGGCCTCAAGCGGCTCGCGGTGGCCCTGCGGTCGGCATGCCGCGCCAACGAGGCCCACACCAAGAAGAAGCGCCCCACCAAGGCCGAGCGGGCCAAGGGCGAAGACGACGACGACGAGATGAAGGCCGACCGCCGGGTCGGGCTGGAGCCGCTCGCGCTGGGCGGCGTGCGGATCGACAGCCCGCAGGTGCTCAACAGCCTGCTCTTCTTCTGCATCCGCCAGATGCCGGGTATCGTCGACAGGTACCTGGGCTACACCTACGCCCCGCCCACCGACGACGACAAGAACGGCAGCGGCCTCCCCAAGTCGAACAAGAAGTGGCGCGGCATCGAGAAGATCCTCACCAGCTTCGCCGGCAGCATCCTCAAGCTCCTCTCCCAGATCACCGAGCCCAAGGTGCGTGTTCCCCGACGTGTGTGCGGTTGTGTGCGGTGAGCTGACGAATTCTAACTTATGTGTGATATGTGTGGTATTTGCTATTGTAATAGCCGTTGGCGTACCTGCTGAGGCACCTGATGGGCTTCATCCCGTACGTGGCGTGCTTCCCGCGCTACCCGATCAACTACCTCCGCGCGCTGCTGCAGATCTGGAGCAAGGGCGAGGAGACCGACCGCATCATGGCCTTCCTCAACATCCACAAGCTGGCCATCGCCACGCCCTTCCCCTTCGTCCACCGGTGCATGAAGGAGTCCTACCTCGCCTACGTGCGCAACGCCAAGTTCGGCACCGCCATGCAGCGCGGCGCGGTCAACTTCATGGCCAACGGTGTCGTGGAGCTGTTCCTGCTCGACGGCGTCGGCGCCTACCAGCTGGCCTTCGTCTACATCCGCCAGCTCGCCGTCCACCTCCGCCAGGCCCTCACCCAGAAGAACACCGAAGCCCACAAGTGAGCCCCCGTTTCTCCTCTGTTTTCTCTCTCTCTCTTTTCTCTCCTTTTTCCTGCTGGAGCGACGTTGGATGATTCACACATGGGTTGTGGCGATGGTGTTGTTGCAGGACGGTGTACAACTGGCAGTACATCAACTGCCTGCGCGTGTGGGCGCGGCTGCTGTCGCACAAGGGCGGGAAGGGCCAGGACCTGGAACAGCTGGTCTACCCGTTCATCCACCTGCTGCTCGGTGTGATTCGTCTGCAGCCCACCCCGCGATTCTACCCTCTCCGCTTCATCTGCCTGCGCTTCCTCATCGAGGTTCGTTAGCCCAGACATCTATTTTATCATTCTTCTTATTTTTACGATCTGTTATTATTATTTGTCAACACTAACGTTCAATGTGCACACCAGCTGGCTGAGTCGACGGGCACGTTCATTCCCGTGGCGCCGTACCTGTTGGAGGTGCTGGAGTGGCCCGGCTTCACCAAGGGCCCCAAGCCCGGCGGACCCAAGCCCCGACCTGTCATCTTCCAGACCATCCTCAAGGCTGGCCCCACCACCATGACCTCCACCACCTTCATCGTACGTCTCGCCCCGCCCTGCTGACTTACGCCCGATATCGGTGGACCCCCTGACACTCGTGGCGCGTGATGTGCGCATAATCACAGAACGGAGTGGTTGAGGAGGTGGCGACGCTCCTGGCGCAGTGGCTGCGCGTGTACTCGCACAGCGTGGCGTTCCCCGAGCTGGCGCTCCCCATCACACTCTCCCTGAAGAAGTTCGTGCAGAGCCACCGCCGATCCTCGTGCCCCGCCCCCGCCGCCCTCAAGCGACTCGCCACCATTCAGCAGAAGGTAGCCGCTTTCTTTCGTGTTTCGCTCTTTGTTTCGTTCTTTCCCCCCTCTCTTCTTTTCCAACGTTGGAACTTGAACACTCACCAATTGTGTGAATAGATCGAGGAGAACAACCAGTGGATCGAGAGGTTGCGCTCCAAGCTGACCGTGGGTCCCAAAGAGCTGGCCCAGTCCTCGCCCACGCTGGGCGCTGGCCGCAAGAGCCCGCTCGAGCTCTACACGCCTCCTGCACCGTACGACTTTCCTCATCTCGTGTGTGTGTGTGTGTGTGTGTTGTGAGGCGTGTGTCGCGCTCGTGTCATCTCACGTTCTCCTGCCGCGTACCTATCAGGACGCACACGCACTCGGAGGGTGATGCTGTTGAAGACGACGACGAAGAGGAGGAGACCAAGGCCAAGAAGGGACGCCACCAGGCCAAGAAGAGGCAGGCCGATGACGATGATGGCGAAGATGAGGAAGATGGCGTGGTCGATGATGATGATGATGAAGATGACGACGACGACGAGGAAGACGAGTATGACCTCGACGGCGAGGACGACCTCGTGACCGACATCGTGGACACCGATGATTTCTAGAAATAGGCCCTGCAACCGCGCGCAAACGCTCCGAACATGATGAATTCCATTCATTCCTATGCCAGTCGGGTTACAGTTTTAAAAAATGGGCCACAACACAACACACAGGGCGACCGGGGGCCGAACACACAGCCCATTGTGTGTTCTTGTTCTCGTGAGCGAGCGGCGCTGGTGGCTTGTTGTGGAGCGGTGGCGGCGACACGGCGATCATGGCGACCGCCCCGGTGGGCTCACAGCTGGAAATAGCGAAACCACCCGCAACGGCATTGGTGCGCCTTTATCTTGGCACGAGGGTACACCGTATGAGGGCTCCTCGGAGACTGGGGCGCGTGAGGCGTGAACGATACTCGTCCCGGCCGCCACAACCAAGAAGAGAACACCACCACAAACGGGGACTGCTGGTCGACGTCGCCCCCCTCCTCGCGCGCCGCCACCAACCACTGCCGGCCGCAGTGTGGGCGGAGTATCACCCCCCCCCTCCAATTTCATACACACCTCCTCCTTCTCCCCAGCCTCCTCTATTCTCTCTTGTCCGACACAACACACAAGATACGACACACACGACACACGACACACGACAATATGTCGAGCGGGCCGCTGTTGAACACTTCGTCTGCGTCGCGAGGAGGATCGAGTAGCGGCGGGAGGAAGAAGCGTGAGCGCGCAAAGAGCCACCACCACCACCCGCGCCACTCACACCGCCACGACCACGACCACGACCAACAGCACGACGCGGGCTTTCCGGACCACGACAGCAGCGATGGACGCGCCGCAGACCACTATCCTCTCAAGGACACCGACCACCACCACCATCATCATCACCATCAACAACAACACTATCAGCAGCAACAACCACCACAACACAACAACAACAGTCACCACCGGCGGAAAAGTTCGAGTCCGCGCCTCGCCAGTACCCAGATCACCGGCAACGACACCATCGACCGGCCCGGGCGGGAAAAGAGCGAAAACGAAAACGAAAGAGGGAACAAGAACGAAGACGAAGACGATGGCGGCGGCGGCGGTACGGTGGAGCTGGTGCGGAAGATCGGGCAGGGGTCGTGCGGCGCCGTCTACCTGGGGCGCCACCCGCAGACCCACCGGGACTACGCCGTGAAGCTGATCCCCAAGGACGCCAGCGACCAGCGCACCGCGCGGCTGCTCCAGCGCGTGCGGCTCGAAGGCGACCTGCTCCTGGCGCTGGACCACCCGCACATCGTGCGCGGCTACGGCGTGATGGAGACCGACAGCCACGCGTTCCTCTTCATGGAACACGCCCAGGGCGGCGACCTGCTCGAGTACCTCAACCGCGAGGGCGCCCTGACCGAGACCCGCGCACGGCTCATGTTCCGCCAGGTGGTGCGGGCCGTGCGCCACCTCCACCAACGCGGCTGGGTGCACCGCGACATCAAGGTACATATCTATATCTTTTATATCTTTATATGTGTTTAACAATTTCTAACTTTTGTGTTGGTGTGTGCGTGTGTGGTACGGAATGACACGACACGACACACAGCCGGAAAACATCTTCATCGCGTTTGAAGACGACGATGGGGAGGAGGGCCGCGAGAGCCTGGCGCGCTCGGCAAGGCACCAGCACGACAACGATGATGTCGACACATCGTCGTCGTCATCGTCACCATCATCGAGGAGAACCTCGAAGCCCAACAACAAGCGAAGCGACGAGTCGCTGTTGTCGTCTCCATCATCGTCCGCATCGAGGACGTCATCCTCGCCACGAAGGAGACGCAAGGTGCGCCTGGTGCTGGGCGACATGGGCTTCGCGCGACAGGTATCCACTTCCACTTCCACCACCTCAACTTAGTTCACTCTCTCTTTGGGATTCGCTGTTGCGTGGTTGCGAGTTGTTTGGTAGATATATTTTTATTTTTATTTATTTTTATTTTTAGTGTTTACGCAATTGTAGAGCTCAACAACACGCATCGTGACTAACAATATGTACTATATCTCAACTACATATCCATGTCATTTAAAATATAACAGTGGGCGCCGACGAAGAGGATGCAGGAGTGCGTGGGCACGTTTCCCTACGCCGCCCCGGAGGTGATCAACCGGGAGAAGTACATCGGGCCCGAAGTCGACGTCTGGTCCCTCGGCGTGGGTACGCCGCCCTTTCCTTTCCCCGCCACACAGCAGGCTTTCCCAATTCGCATTTATGGGCACACCATCTCCATCTGCCCATCGTGATGTGGACCCGATCTCGATTCTCAACTCCACACACCCCGAGATATGTTTCACTGTGTTATCGCTCTGGTTTCCGGTTTGTCTAGTTATCTGTCCGGTCATCTCCATCTCCGGTCATAATTGTCTGCTATTATTATTTTGTGCGTGAGGCGGAGTTGTT